ATCTATGGGGGGGGGGGGATTTGCAACTTCCCTGGCTGCTTATTGCTCCTCGTGGCCCAGGGCTGCTGGGAGCAGGGGGCGGGGCTGGAAGCAGGGGGTGGGGGTTGTTGCATGTGCCTGCCCCCTGGGCTCTTTACTGGTGGAGATCCGCTCCTGTGCGCTCCTATAGGAAATGACCCCTGGCTAGTAATAATTTCTCAAACTCTGTTGCAGGTCTTAAAACAGCATTTTTTGGTATCAATCCTCAAAGGTAGCTTCTAATGGAGATATTCAAGAACTGAAATTCTAGTTTCTAAAGTATCTTTAATTTCATTAAACGGGATCACTTGATTTTTAATTTTCATACTGCCATAATCACTAGCACCTGAGAATTCCCGTCTTCTCAAAGGTAAAAACTCCAGGCTTACCTCATCAATCATATGACTTATAATGGATGCCAAAGGAGAAAATCTTGGTGACAATCCATTTTTAACTTGATCCCATACATTAAGTATTACATTTATAATGGCATTATCATTATTATAGTAATTTTTTCCATTGTCTTTCTTCACCTAAGGCCAGTTTTTCAAGAGTACCTTTACAAAAGATTGTTCTATATAGGTTGGCATGTTTACATCAGTATTTAATGACCAATCTTCCAACCAATTTACTCTAGCAGCTTGGTAATACAATTTAAGATTAGGAATCTGTAGACCACCATTTAATTTTTTATCATACATGTTACAATAACATATCCTTTTCTTTTTCAGCCCTTCCCTTGGGGTGATGGGAACCATACTCTTTTCCATAATCCTCATACTAACCCTCTCCCAACTGGCTATGAAGATGAAAAGTAAATGAGTGGATCACAGTAGCACCATGGACCATTGAGGTAGCTGGACCAGAACATGGGCTGGGATTCACAAACAAAACGTTCTTCATTCCTTGTACTGTGAAATTATGAACTGCATCCTGATCTCTAGCAGTTTGCTTTTTGCAGAGGTCCCCTAAATAAAACTATTCCATACAAGAATTTTTGTGAATTGTCTTGGATACTGAGCTTGGGTTGGATCCAGCCAGCTTTTTCACCCAGTTCTCCATATTACAGCCCCCTATCCTGCATATGGCTTTTGAATCCCCTGATCACCAGCACAGCTTTTTTTTTTCTTGTGGTTCCACCTCCCTTTTTCACTAGCAGAAAAGTTGGCTGGATCCAACCCACTGTCTTATCTAGTATTCATTACTAGTTTTTCTTGGAACTCCCCACTTTAGGGAGGCAAAAGCAGCAGGACTGTTTGTACAAAGCAGAAAAGAGTTCTTATTGGGAAGAAAGGAGTAATAGGAATGAGTACAACTTGCATCACTAAGTTGTTTGGCCTTTGAACTATTTAGCTCTGAACTGAAGAGTTTTTTCTCTTTACGCTGACTGGCCTTTGGTGTGGAAAGAAATTATACACCAGAGAGAAGGGAAAACAGTGGTCTGGGTAAAACTTATTATAGGGGAACCATTATTGCAAGCTGTCTTGAGTCTCTTTGGGGGAGAAATGCAGGATATCAATATTCTGACAAAGATAAGCTGTTCCACCAGCTCTGTGGAGGCTTACCAGCACTTTTGTCTTTTTGAAAAGACTCTGCATTGTAATTAACAGCCACTGCATGTTGGATTTATCACAGTTTATGGATCTGAGATTCTCTTTGCAACTTTAAGCACCTTGATAGATATAGCTCCCTTTTTGTACCAGCAAGCTTAAGCATGCTATTTGAGTTCAGTAATTTTTCACTCAACATCAGACTGATGTGGCAGAGGACAAGACTGGATAGTGGTCAAAAATGGCAAGGAAAAAGAGCTGTAAAGGCCCTAAAGCCTCCTGTGAACACTGACATCTGAGTCTTCCCAATCTGAGCTCTTTCAAGACAACAGCCATATTTCTGTAGAGAGGAGGGCTGCATGACTCAAAAGGATCTTACTGTAATACATCAAAAGCAACCTTTCATTGATTGCCTTGTGTCTAACAGCTGTGTTCTGCTGGTGGAAGGACTCTTTGGGGGTGGTATTTGACTGCTGATGATACCCCTTACCATATTATGCCCAGCACTGTTCCAGAGGGTCCTCTAATTCTGAACCCAGCATTGCAGTATGTGGGAAAGTTATGCTGTGAGATCTGCTGTGCTCAAGTGGTAACTTCTGAAAGTCTGAGGTGCTTCATATACATTGGTATGATTATAACCCCGTTCAGTAAACTTTTCTCTCCCCCACTGTCTCTGAATTGATCTAGGCAAACTGATAGAGGATACTTCAGGCAAGCCAAGTTATTCTCAGATTTCTGTGAGGACCTACACACATTCTTGGCTTCTATTAAATCACAGCAAAGCACAATTGCCTAACAAGGAAATATGAAGGTTTCTTCTGGAGTGCTTATATCCTACTTGATCATTACAAAGAATCCAACACAATGGGAGATGGGGGTGTTTTCACTGTTTGCAGTCCACAGATTTCATGGCTGGTGCAGGAGGAGGGAAAAACAACACTTGGTGACCCGCTAGACCGTTGTACTTCTCACTCTGGTGTTAACCGTTCTAGTAGCTAGTACCCAGTCAGCAAGTGTTTCTTCCTAGTAGAGCTGTTTGAGAGAGATGCCACTGGTTCACGGGGGAGTTGCAGAATTAGTCAGTGGAGATTCTGTCAAGACAGAAACATACCTGCCTCCCTTTTCTCTCTAACAGCTTTGGCTGTGCAGCATATCAAATCAATACCAAAATTGTAATTGAAGTCCTCAAGCCTCTATAGAATCCCAGTTTTATTATCCTAATTGAATTTACATTATTGCACATAGCGGAATACATACAACTGTCCAATCATGTTACAAGGCACTTTATGTTGCAAGAACATTATTTCCACAAAATATACTATGGTCAATAAAACTTCTCTAGAGCCTGGGATTACAGCCTGAATTTGACCTTTTCCCTCTCTACTAAGCATTGCTAGATAATCCCTACATTGGGCTAGCATGCAAAGAGATGGAGTGAATATGAACTTTGTCCCCAGTGCTTCAGAGAACTGCTTAAACTATAAAGCAGCAACTCTTCACTCTCTGTGGATGTGTTCTAGGAAGCTTTCTGCAAGACAAAGTGACTATCTGTGGATGTGTTCTTTATGCAAGATGAAAGCAAGAAGCCTACTATCAAAGCACCTTAACTGCCTAGGAAGCTTTCTGCAAGACAAAGTGACCTTGCTGTTGGCTTGGTGAAAGTTGACAGGAAGCATAAACTAAGAGGAAATAATTTATTTTGCTCCTCAGTAGAATAAGCTGAGGAAACCCAATGGGAGCATTAACTGGGGTTGTACTTCATATTAGTATTCCATGGCCCCGGTCACACAGGCACGAAAACGCGGGGGGGGGGGCTGTTTGCCCCGGAGCAAAATAACGTACGGTTGCGCGATCAGACGTCCCATAGAGGTCCCGTGGTTAGGGGGGAGGTGCTGATCACAGGACAATCCTGCGGCGTGGCAAAGAAGTGGCCTCTCTAGCAAAAGGCTCCGCGGGTTTAACCCCTTCCAGGGCTGCAGAGGAATGCAAACTGTCCTCTGTCCGGTCCCCTCCAGGAGGAGCTTGAGCAGGCCGAGCCAGGAGTGTGGGGGGGGGGTTACGGAAAAGAGGAGGGGGCAGTGTTGTTTGTTTTTAAACAAAGTGTGCGCATGCGCTTGTGCACATCCCGTGGAGACTTGGAAAAAAAACACCTTTTAGTGACGGGACATGAGCAGGCGCCAGATGCCACGACCTAACACCGGAAACGCGATCAGGCACCCGCCCTTACCCCGAGGTTTCCGGAAACTAGTACTTCGGAGGTACTAGTTTTTTACCTCGCATCTTCGGCGGGAAGCCTAGGGTTCGCCACGGGAGCTCTACGCTTCTCAGATGTGGCACTGTCATCGCGCCTGGAAAATCCGCCTATCTTTCGTCTCTGTAGCGTGGCTAATGCTCCGTGTGACCGCAGCCCATGTTAGTCTAACTCCTGCTGCCGACACAAGGGCTTTATGACTGTGATATGAAGCAAACCAGGTGTTTGCCCAGCCTCCTATAAGGTACCACAGCCCTGAAAACAAAGCCCTGTGGCACCTTAAAGATTAATATTTACTGAGGAACAAACTTTCCTTTTGATGCAAGCAAAAGTTATCTGTTGACAGACACATAAATATCACGCACACAAAGGTATAAAAAAAGGAAGATCTAATTTCAAAATGAGGTCAATAAAATATTCCTCCACATTCCAGTATGAATCCAAATGTTTGTATTTCTACCAAATTAATATAATGCTTCTGAAAAAGTGGTTTGGACTCTCAGAAGCGCTGACTGTTATAGCTGTTAGTATTTAAGATTGTTCCAGCTGCCACAGACTAACATGGAACTTCATCTGATAATTTAAAGGAAAGCCACAAAAGAGAGGAAGAGACCTGGATATTTTCTTGCAGTTCCAAACCTGATGCTTTAATGTCATGACTAAGAATTTATTACATTTTCACTAATGTAGTGAACTTTTTATAAATTATGCCAAGGCAGCTGCTTATACTGTCTACTTAACAATATTTGCTCCAAATTATCTTAGATGTTTCAGCAAAATGACTAGGTAGCTTGTGTAACATGAATGGATGCTGTTTAGTAATCTGAAACTCTGAGTGACAAAGGAGAATTACATTTTAACCCCACTCTTCATACAGATTTCTCATCTTCTAAGCCTGCAGCCCACAATATGGTCTGTTTGGCCAAACAAAATGCAAGAGGTAGGCAAGAGGAATAACACTTTCCTTTCACAAAGGAGCACTGGCATCATACTGAATATAAAACCATGCTATTGCTTCGCCTTCACATTTACTAGACAGAAGTAAAAAGTAAGTTCTAGACAGGTTTTGTCTTGCTGCCGCTTGCCAAAAGGAAGCACTGTATGCCTCAAACTTCCTTACAGCTGAAAGAATTTGGGGTTTTTTATAAGCACACAGGTTTGTTTTTTGGAAGCAGTAGCATGAGGCTACATTCTTCAGAGAGAAATAACATTTCTGCGCCACACTGCTTAAGTGCTATATCTTTCATCCTTTAGATAGTCAATGCTGAGAACACTTTCTAGCACTCCAGGAAGTAAGTGGCACTAATGGAGAGAAAAGATTCCAAACACAAATATACAACAGTGCATTGTATCAGTCAAGCCCCATCGTTCATTTTACAACTATAGCTTAATTTGGCCTACATGAAAAAAGCTGATCAGTAACTCCATATAATCTGAAATTGATCACTCCTACCCCCTACTCACTCTCTCCCCAACAGTAATACCCACCCTCAGTTCATTAAAAACAAAGCTGCATTTACAAGGCAGAAATTGCAATGGAGAAAAGTCCTTGTAGTTCAGACAGCAGCTAACTTGTCCTGGTGCCACTGTGATTCAAAATTCAAAAGACTCCTCCTATATCCCATCATGGTCAGGAAGAGTTTTCAGATTTTCCTTTGCTGGGGCCCATGAATTCCAGCCCTTCGATGGGTATGTCCTTTTCCTTGATAGCTTTCTAAGAAAAGGAAGTATATTTTAATAGTTCTGATGATATTGAGACAATATTAAATTCTATTAAGAAATAAGGTTGCTTGCATAATTCCAGGTAATGTTTGCAACAGAAATTTCCTATCTGCATTCTAACATCTTCAAAAATTGGATTTTGAAATAATTGTGCTTGAAGTAAGGGTATATTTTTCAGACAAGCTAGAAATTCAGAGAACTAGATATCTTCAGAGCGTGTGTCAAGGAAATAAGTGTGAACATAAGTGACAAGAAGTACAGGAATACAGAAGTCTTAAGGTGGTTGATGCCACAAGAAAGTGAACTCCTTTGGTAGCTACCCTAAAAATCACCAGCCTGACTATATGATATCACTGCTCCTTCGTTCATTTCCGACATCCTTCTGCGTCCAATGCTTCCTCTAAGCTGTGGAGTCTTGTGAGCAAAAATTCTACTTTGTGAGCTACTGGCATTAAAGTTGTGAGCAAGCTATTTGGCTCCTGAAAAATTAGTTTGCTCTGGAGCCATTCTTCCTGAACTAAGACAAAAATGTGTGAGCCGGAGACTAAAAAACTGTGAGCCAGCTCACACTAACTCAGCTTAGAGGGTACACTGGTGTCCAGCAATGTCCTGTCTTGCCCTTTATTGCCATTCATGGCCTTTTCCCGACACCCTTTCAGTCCGTTTCCTGATATATTCCTGCCCGAGTCTACTGTTTCCCCAGCTCTGCCACTAAACCAAGCCTGGCCCGCCCAGCGAGATGACACCCGGAAGCGTCCTGACCCACAGCTCAAGCCCCCCGCACATGCCCAGAAACCCTCTTGCCTGGACGCAGAGCTGGTAGCGCTTAAAGAGCTGGACGCAAGGGTCGCCTGCGCTTTCCCCCTTCAGGAACTTCTCAGCGAACCAGCGGTTGAAACACTGGTCGTATTCCCGCTTCAGCTCCGTACAGGCCTCCCCCACACTGTTCATGGCGGCCGTGGCCCGCGGAGGGGAGCCGGGAAGGGTAGCGGCGCACATAAAGACGTACTTCCGCCCAAGACCCGGAAGTGACACAATTTCGAGCCGTATCGGGAGACCGGGTGGAGGAGTACTATGTGGGCTCTCCGTGTCAGTAGTTTGGCCCGTGCGGCTTTCTGTTCTCGGAGTGGTAACTCTGCAGGGCTCTCTTCTGTTCCGCCATTTCAGGAGGATGGACGCGGCAGGGTGAGAAGAGTGTAAAGTCCTCTTTCCCAGCGGTTTATTGCACCCGCATTTTAAAAAAAGGATGTTCAGAACAGTAGCATTTATGTTTCTTCTGTGTGTCCATTATTATTTCATTAATGCTTACATTCCGTATAAGGGAAGGCCAGCATTTATAGCCCTGTAGAGTAGATAGAAGCCTTCCTCAAGCGCACGCAGGCTGCAAACGTAGAGAAGTCCCATCGAAGAGCTGAATGTATCTTTGAATAAATGTGCTTATGATCATGCTGCTGTTTTTGGCTGAAGCAGAATTCAACCAGGCATATTTCCTCGGCCACTATACTATCACACCTCTTTATATAAGTTGGGATCTGACACTATTATAGAAAGTAAGCACTGGTGCCTGTGACATCTGTCAAAATATTTGAATGGGGGGAGGAGGGGAGAACCGCCATGGAACTTGTCATGTTTATGAAGTAAACCCAGCTGGTAGGAAATATTGGCTGATCTTAGTCATTAGGTGTGTGAACTTTTAAAATTCTCAGGTTAGCCACACTCCAAACCTAAACATACATATTTGAAGTGATGAAAGGAAAAACAGACCACAAATAAATACTCAAGATCCTTTAACTGGAATTGCCAGGGAACTTCCGAATGCAGAGCACCATTGAACCAGAAATAGTTTCACTCTTAACTTCAGGGACTTCAGAAAAAACAGATCAGATCTCATTTACCTTGTCACATTTGGAATGTTCTCCACACAACCTAAATATGTTACTTTTTCTGTGTTTGAAGAAAAAAGTAACTTTGGAGTTGCTGGATCATCTGGAGCGTCTTGCACTTGTTGATTTCCGCAATCAGGAGGGTGTGGAACGTTTGGAGAAAGCAATCGAATTTGCCGATCAACTTCTTTCCATTAACACGGATGGTGTGGAGCCAATGGACTCAGTACTGGAGGACAGGTGAATCTTAGCAATGTGTCTACTCTTAAACTTATCTAATGATTTCTACAATTTCGTTATGTGGTTTGTTTCTTATATAGGTTTTAACTTTAAAATTGGCATTGTTCTGTGGAATATAATCTTGTTCTGAAATTAGCAGGGGGCTACTCTGGCGCTTCTGTATACATTTTACAGTGCAGCTGGGTTGTACAGGGAATTCTTGGTAACAGGATGTGTACAGATGATAGTTACCCTCAGTCTATCCTCTCTGTCAGAAAGAATAAACTTCCTGCACCTTTGCCAATGTAATTACGTTATGTAGTTTGTTTTATATAGGTTTTAACTTTAAAGTTGGCATTGTTCTGTGGAATATAATCTGAAATTAGCAGGGGGCTACTCTGGCGCTTCTGTTTTACAGTGCAGCTGGGTTGTATAGGGAATTCTTGATTTGACGGGTCTATGTAAAAATAAAATACCCCCTCTTGCTAACAGGATGTGTACAGTTGATAGTTACCCTGTCTATCCTCTGTCAGAAAGAGTAAACTTCCTGCACCTTTGCCAATGTAATTACTGCATGACAAGCATATTTACTTGGGACACTCCTTAGAAATGTAACCTTAGAAAACAGCTCCTCCGGGCAGAGCCACAAATACATGAAGCTGCCTTATACTGAATCAGACCCTTGGTCCACCAAGGTCAGTACTCTCTACTCAGACTGGTAGTGGCTCTCCAGGGTTTCAGGCAAAGGTCTTTCACATCACCTTGTCGTTTTAACTGGAGATGCCAGGAATTGAACCTGGGACCTTCTGCATGCCAAGCAGATACTCTACCACTCAGCCACAGACCCTCCCTAGAATTAAAGCAGTTTTAGGATTAGACAGATTCAGGGAGTTATTTTAGCTGTAGTAACAAAAGAAAAGCTCCCTGTTCACAGACAGTGAAGTGCATGTGGGAGATAAATAGGAATGTAATCGCTTTTTCATACTGCTTGTGAACTTCCTGAAGGCATCCTATTGGCTGTTATTGAAGACATGATGTTGGAATAGATGGATCTTGGTGCGTGGAGGCAGTTTGTATGTGGTTTGTAAAATCATTCAATGGTCATTGCTGCCCCAAATACTCAAAATACTATCTCAATTATGCAGATAGCTCAGAACAGAGTAGAAAACGTTTGTTGCCATGTGTCACTCACTAGCTGCCTTTAAAGACAGGAATAAAAGTTCTTGTCTATATATGGCATCACTACAAAAAGCAAGACTGTAGTAACATCTTTCAGTTCTTTTGGCCTTCTGTGGTCAGGTGGTGTGGCCTAATCTTGACTTGTGGCTAGCTGCTATCATTCTTTATTTTCTGTATCATGATATCTCAACAGTCTCAAGTAATCATTTATGCTCCCTCAGGTGTTTGTATCTCAGGGAAGATAATGTCACAGAAGGCAACTTTGCAGAGGAGCTACTGAAGAATGCCAATCAGACACTGGAAGAGTATTTCATAGCTCCACCAGGTAACATCTTGTGTCATGCATGCAGTTAAGTTTACTGGAAGATGCTTGGCACTTTTAACCCTTTCCCAAGTATCTGTAAGCAACACAGCTTCTCACTTGTTGCTAATTAATTCCTCTCAGTTCAGGAGATACAACTGGTACAAATCAGTCAATATCGTCATTTAGCAGAGAACAAGAACAATTATCTACTCTGCATTAAAAAATGAAAGTTGACTTTAAGTAACTCAAAACACTGACATCCTCTGAGAGCAGAATTCTGGATCTTGTGCTTCATTCTGCTATCTCACTGCACTCCTGCAAAGAATCAACAGTATGCATTCAATGCTCAGTAATAGCAGAATCTGCAAGGAAACTTGCAGAATCTTGGACCACCTTCAGTAAAGTCTTGGAGCCAACATTTGTTTACTTACCCTTTTGGTAATAAGGGCATTAGTGGGACATGCTACAAGTTGCACAAACCAAATAGATTGTTTACTGAAATTAGATTAGAGTTGTTTAAGTAAATTTTGTACTAGCACATACTTAATTCCATTCAATTTTATTGTTTTCATTAGGGAACATCCCATTACCAAAGTTAGAAGACCGAGACACTTTCCTGCAGAAGAAAAAGCCCTCAGCAGACATGCTACCACTGACTTTTTAGACTCTGGAGTCCAATGCAGCTGCATCCAGGATTAAATCTTTCAAGTCTCCTGTACAACCTTCTGTGAAAGGATGGACTGCCTTGTCTGAGGACTATTAACTCTTGCAAACAATTTCTGAACATCCCATGTATACTTACAGCTCCCACTCAAGGCAGATATGCAATATCCACTGTAAAAAGCTTGTCAATTTCCATTAGGGTGAGTGTGTACCTACCACTGTGTTGGATTGTGGTCAAAAACATTTTAAAAACCCTCACCCACACAAAAAAGCATTCATTGGGAAGGGAGATGGTACAAAAAGGGGGGAAATCACACTGAGGCAACCTGCACACAAAACTTTGAAAAAACAATTGTGAGCACACTTGCCAATATTCACTATTATGCTTTCTGCCAAGTAGGTGGAAAGAAATGAGGAGCAGCAGCCTTCAATGTACATAAGTATGGAGTCAGAGGTAGAGAGTATTTTGGAAATAAAAAGTTGCCTTATTAATATCCAGCACTGTCAGTCAACACCGGAAGAGGGGAGTAAAAACATACGCAATACTCCCCCCACCCAAACCAAAACATGCATTGGAACAGTTCAGTTCTTTAAGTGAGAAGAAGCTATACATATAGTCCTCAGTGGTGTCAGTGCTGGTCCACAGGTGTTTTATATGAGGTGTAAATGTTTTATTTTAAAATATACAGTATTTTCTCATATACTAAATATGTGTTAACATATGAAGTGCACGATAAACAAAGCACGTTTTGTTGTCCACTGTAATACAGTTGTTTGGGAAGTATTGTTGCCAGAGGCGCTGCCTTTTACTCTTGCCCCAATAGCAGGGGCACCCCACTTCTAACCTGATCCAGAGACCCACAAAATTCAGGCCAAGGAAGGCACTCTTGGTTCTGAAACACAGTGCTAGCCACAGCTCTGAAAAAGGGGTCTCCATTTTCAGGTGACAGGCAACCTCAGAGCAAGCCTCCAGTCTCCCCCCTCCACCCAACAGAGATTATGCTTATGGAATAACAGTGAGTTCTAGCAGGTAAAGTATCTACATTTCTAAAGTCTATTTAATTCTTTGTCTGAATACTTGTCTTTTCTACTCTGTCCCTCAAGATACCGGGATAAATCAATCAAACATTCAAATAATTAACAATCCTTCCTGGCACTAATTAGGGACGGCTCCCACCTTTTGTTTACCCTGGCCAGGACCATTAGTGGTCAGATAATCCATTCAACTAGCCACCCAGCACCTGGCTTCTATTGTTAAATCCAGACTCTGCCTCTCTGGAAGCTCATTGGTCACATCTAGGCCTTGCCCATCCTGATGCCACACCCCCCTGGGACTCATCATTAGTCCAGGAAATCTATTGTTCTCACCTGAGACCAGCCCCCAGGACCAGCCATTGGTCTGCATTGTCTTCCATAGGGTATATCCCAGCGTAAACATGGCCTCAGCCCGTGTGTTTTCTGCCATAATCCAACATGGCAGTCCACCCCTAAGCTCTCTGAGTTTAGGCCACAATCCATGGAACTCTGCACATCTGGACCAGGTTGTATAACCCCTCTATAAACTATCAATCACCTCTGCTTCCTTAGTTCTATAAATGTGTGTGTGGTTGTGTATTGTTTGAATTATATATATTCCCCTGCAAAAAGACATTATATTTTACTGAATACAGTCTTTGTGTCTGTTCTGGTGTTTACAGCAAAGGTGGGACTTCTGTATACATTGGTGTGAACCCTAATTTGCCTATTGCCAAATTAATAAGCATAACTTCCCCTAGACTACTTAATAATTCAAGGCAATTTGGCTAATAGTATGCCTGAATACAGGTAACATAATAGCACATTTGTTAAATATGAATGTTGTTTGGCAGATTAAAAAAATCTCCTTGCCTGGAAAATGCATCAGACTCCTGGAATGGAGACATTACACTACATCACAGGTCCCCAACATTTTTGAGCCTGTGGGTGCCTTTGGAGTTCTGCCACAAGGTGCTGGGTGCAACCAGAAAATGGCTGCTGCAGGAAGCGGAGCCAACCACAAAATGTCAGGGAACTGGTTATGCATAGCACCAGTAGTAACTCTTCAACATTTCAGGCAGAAGATCTGTTTAACAATACACACAGCTTACCTTCAATCACACAGTGAAGATCTTTGTGCTGTGGTGGCAGCTGCTGCCAAAGCAACATTTTTAAAGATCTGCAAGCCAATCAGATGACCTGCAGGACCAAAGCCCCATCCACTTTTTAAAAACGCATGGGTGTCACGTTGGGGACTCTTGCAGTATACTGTTCCAGGAGAATGTGCTACTTCATTATTTCAGAGTTTGGCATGCACAAAATAGATTACAAAAGGAATGAGAACACACCAGAATGTTAAATGTTGGCTCAACACTGAATATGTTTTTAAGGATCTCTCTGGCACATTAGCCTTACTTATTAATATCATTTCCTGTGTTCAGCAAAGCATATGTGCTATTTTTGAACTGCACATGAATTATTGTCTCAGAATGTCAGTGTGGTGACTTGTATATAGCAGATGCAGATTTTTGACATTTGACTTTACTATATGTATATAAGAATACATACAGATTGATCCTCTGCATCAACAGTGCTTAATTTACTCCCAAGAAAGTGAGTAAGGCCACAGCCTTAATAGGCTAAACCAAAGCACCTCTGGCACACACTGATAAATAACAAATTAACAAGGCCCAAATATCTGTTCCACATTCTTCCCCTCTGGCAAGTGGTTCTACTGTATGCCTCTCCTGTTCCCAGCACCAGGTTGTGATGAGCAGACATGCCTCTTCCTTCCTTCCCCCCTCCTGTCTACCTCCTCACCAGTCATGCTCAGCCTGTGAGCTCCTGCACTCGCCCACATTTCCCAGCCTGAATAAATCAAAACAGGGGCTCCATGCAGTGGGCAGGATCAGTTCACAGAGGAATGAGTTGGAAAGCCTGCTGACTGAGCACCAGTAGTGCTGAAAAGATGTGCCTGCATCACTTGAGGAGAAACGGAAAGAGAAGGAAGAAGCAGCAGGCCCCCCTCCACCAAATTCAGGTGTAGCTGAGTACTGTCCACGTGGAAAATGTGGGGAGGGGAAGGGAAAGGCGTTTGTAAGCTGCTCTGAGACTGAGTGAAGGGTGGGGTATAAATCCAATCTCTCCTATCTACCAAGTATACTACCACACACACGAACTGATACTTGAAGGTAAATGGGACCTGACTGTCTCCAAATAATGTGCTGCAGTTCAGGGTTAGCACATGCCTCCAAAGTTCATTCTGACATCGGAAAGTAGACCTCCAAAGAAGGGAGATGGTCAGTTTCAAGCCCGATACGGCCTGCCAAAGAACTGGACATCTAGTTAACTGAAGAGAGCACTTTCTTTTTCTTTTTGCAGAGCTTAATCTGAGCCAAGGTTCAACCTAAAAAAAAGTGTTCTCTAATGCCAGCACTTATCTGCTGACCAGGAATACTCTCCATACACGTGCAGGCTGGCTGGAGAAGTGTGCTTCTGAGTGTGTAATAATACTTTCAGTCTGGGAAACCTCTCCTTAATTTAGGTTTTCCTAAATGGGGCAAGCACCCTCTACCAACTAAAGTACAAAACACATACGTAAATTCCTCCCTTAGTCTCTCATCTTCCATTTTATCCTCACACCAGCTTTGTGAGGTTGGCTAAGATAAGTATGTGTGTGACAGGTACAAGGTCACCAAGTAAAACAGCTGAGTGGGGATTTAAACGAGGGTCTTCAGAACTGTGGTCTGATACTATTCACCACATCATACTAGCTCTTGAGTGTCCCTATTGCATGTATTTGGTTTGCATGTGGCAAGGGCACAAAGGGCCCTTTTGGAGGCTTGCCAAGTCTTCACCCAAAGATAAGCCTGTCTCAACAGTAGTGTTCAGATACTCTGCCTCCCACCTCCCATCCTGGGCATTGCTTGTGAGACTGCACTGCCATCTGTAAAGGCCTATGCATTTGGCTTAGAGCAATATAAACATTTGACTGATGTTTTAACAGTGGACAAAAACTAGGGTGTTTCTTTAAACAGATAGTAGAAAGATATTTTAAGTCCAAACACAGCTGTGCTTCTATACATCCCAACATCCTCACTGCACAAAAAGACAAATACCCACTTGTGAGTTACAGAAACATGTAAGTATATTTCAAAACACCACAACAGGCTGAGCCATACAGGTTGCTCTGCTGCTTTACAGCACCATCCTGCGGACATACCAATACAAGCTGAGTCTCAAGCTCATTCTTCCTCACTTAGGAGAAACAAAACAATTTACATTTTCCAAACAAAAAGTTTTAAGTGGCAACGGTTTATAGCATTTCATTACCAACACTTCCCTAGTAAAAACTGTAAGTCATAAAAAAAGATCGTTGAATAGAAAGGAAAAAAAAGGCTTCCTACGAAAGACTATATCCATCCATTTTGGAATGTAAACTCTGAGCAGATATAAAGAGCTCAGTTCACATTTTAGAAGTCCCTGTTGGGTGAATCAGAATGGCCTGAAGGGAGAGGAGTAGCGTGGTGATCCCCTGCTTTGGTATGGAGAATCGCGACCCCTTGAACCAGAACGGGAGCGCGAGTAGCCATAGCTGATGCTTCTTTCAGGACAGACTCTGATATAGGATGTTTCACCCTGGAATTTAAAACAAAGAAAACCCAAATGTTTGCATAACATCCTGTGGTCAACGTTATGAATGAATGATGCCAGAAATGAAGATCAGAAACCAATGCACAAAGTGGCTCAGGACTGGAAGAATTATCACAGAAAAGGCAGTACAAATCCCTCTACTGCCGCCTAGAGTCAGCTCTGGTCTTGCCCTTGAGGTCTATGGAAGAAGGGCATGTTACACAACAGCTAGTATTGTGCAGGTATTAGGAAAATAATGTCAGCTGCAAGGGAACCAGACAGGTTTTGTTTCAATATAATTATCAAAGGTGAAGATCTCAGTGGGTTTCCATTTTATAAACATCAGAGGGAACAAGATGTAAGCTAGTGAAATCCTTTGGCATAGTTAGGAGAGGCCTCGGTGAACTCTCAATTAAATTGTGTCTCAGCAGCTCAAGTTCTGGAGGGGAAAATCCACAGAAAGAAGCCTCCAGCTGTGATAGAAGGGGTGGTTGCAGTAGATCAGGCCAGCCTTTGGATGAAGGTGGTTCAAGTGAAGTAAACACTGCCCCCAAGACTGAAAAAAAACACCCACTTGTTGGTGGCAGAGGTATACCACTACAGGAAGCGGTTCCATGCACAGGTGGGGAAAATTTTGCTGTTGTAACCCACTAGTTACTCATCAGCTCCTTTGGGGGACAGCACTGCAGTCTGCCGATACAACCTCCAGCTACCAAGGCAAGGTGAGCTAAGTTTACCCAAAGAGCCAGTAGCAACCTGTTCAGCCACTGGCTGTCAAAGGGAATGGCAAAGCAAGTCAACTTGACCCACCCAGAAGAAGTTAGAGGCAAGTAATCCAAATGCTCATTTTCCATGTAACTTAAGAATGAAACCATAAAACCTCATCTTGATTGTCAGGGCTCGCACCAAGCCAGCATGGGGTTGGTTTCACGCAGCCCTGACAACCCTTAAGCTGGTCCCCTAACATTCTATAAGGACTACCATTAGCCATCAATTCCAAGACTACTGCTAGACTGTGCCCTGGGGCCTCTTGAGAGCATCACAACAGGACTGGTTAATGCATGTTCTTCCATGACTGGTACGCGCACATGCTCTTCACCCACAGGCAAGAACCCACCTCATGAGACCGGAATTTGGTGTCATCCAGTTTACGCAGTGCGTATTCCATGTCTTCCTTGCGAAGAAACTCAACCACCCCCATTCCATCTTTCTGTACATCTGCATAACATACATCACCAGCCTCACGCATGTGATCCTTCAGGTCCTGCCAGCTGCCTGATGGAGGAAGCCCTGAGCAGTGAGAACACAAAACATAAGACACCGTGTAAAGAGAGGACACTAGGCGCTTAGGCTACTCCAGGAATGGCTACACGGCCTTGACTGGTTTCCTCCAGGATGTCACAGGCTCCACTGTTTCCACAGACTTCCTTTTATTCCAGAAGGCCAATGCTACAATAAGAACAGAAGGATCCAAAGAACAGCAATTAAGTTCCATTCCAGAGTAGATGAGCCCTCCAAGTCAGCAAGGTCCCCGAGGATAGTCCCCTAGGAGTCAGAGTGCTGGGCATTCAGAGGAATCCTCCGTTGGTCCAATGGAAACTTAACATCACCCCCTAACTCTGACTGTACAGACTGTACTCCATGTGTGACTTAGTTACTCAGGATCAGATTCCCATCCAAGAATGGTAGTTCCCTTCTAACAGTATGAGTTTGGGTCCTTGGATTCCAATAGTTCATCCTTGGGCAGTGAAAAAGGATACCCGAGTTAAACTATCAGCATGATTACTAAGAAAAGGCAAAAGTGGTTTCCCTGTTCCACATCATTTCCTGGAGAAACTAGTACACTGCAGCTCCCGGCAGTTTGCAAGAATCCTCCATATTACCCTCTGCCAATGCAACTTCTCACATGCACGGCAAAAGTCAAGAGAATTTTCCAGACAGCCTCCCTGCCCTCCTAGGCTTCTCTGTGGGAGATGTACACCTGGGGTTCCACACTTTTGTTGTCAGGTCCTGTTGCAAAGCTGAAGAGACTGCACTTCAGTGGTTTCCTCACAGTGACCATCTAGCCAGGATGTCACAGTAGCATGCAGAGGAGTTAGATCACTGGGAAGGGGAGAGGATTTTTCCCCCCTGCTGTGTGTATGGGTGTGTGTGTTTTAAGTACATGAGAACAAACATGTTTTTATGAGCAAGTTTGTTTTTAGTGTACCACTCCATAAATCTGGTCAGGAAATGATGATGCTTTCTCCAGAGCTTTGATTGCCATTGCAAAATCTCCAAAATACTTCCATTTTTTTCCAGTAAAAGGCCTTTTCCACCTGGGTTCCTTAACTCACTAAATAGACACCTATTCCAGAAATTCCAGGTTGCCCTCAAGAGTCCACAAGATTAGTAATCAAGGGAGCCAACTCATGTTAACTTTCTCCCATCACAAACAATATGTGGCTGATGCAGCACTTGCCACATGTGTCTGTCTGTTTTTAACAGATTCGTTCTTGTCTCCAAGCATCACATGCTATGGTCAGCGTATGTGAAGTTTTGGGATCTATTCCTTCTGGCCCTCAACCCCAAAAGAATGGTCCCCATGGTTGACTTCCTTCCCTTCACCTACCCACAGAGGTGCCCACTTCCATGTCCATCAAGTTCACATCTGCCCACTGGGTGAAGATGTTTTTGCTCACCATTCGTTCACCAAGATGAAGTCCAAAAGCAAACAGACTTCCGCTTAACTGGGAAGGTGTGTGATCCTCTTAGCTCTGAAAAAGCTCCTTCGCAGCCACAGGTTTCATATTAAAGAAGAAACCTTAGATTACAGCAGCAGGATACTCCTCCCCAACAAAATATAAGTGAAACGTGGCACCAGGAAAGTTCCTAGTCAGTATGAAGTACCGAAGGCAACATACCTGAAACAAGGACTCGGAATTCAGAACGTCGCAAAGGAGGGCCATTCCTCCCACGAGGACCCCCACCAAAGCCTCCACCCCGACCTCTGGAAGGTCTAGGAAACTCAACACGTAGACGACACTGGCCATAATCATAACCATTCCTCCCATATATTGCATCTTCAGCGTCTCTGCAAACAAATATAGATCTGTGATTAGAAATGTTTAGCAGGAGCCAGCATGGTGTAAAAATTAGAACATCAGACTACAATCTGGGAGACCCATGTTTAAATCCCCATTCTTAACATGGAAGATCACTTGGCCTAGTTGCTCTCAGCCTAACCTACCCTCACAGGGTAACTGTTTTGAGGATACAAAGGAAGAGGGTAGAATGATGTGGTACATCACTTGGGTCCCCACAAGGGAAAAGACTGCGGTATAAATAAATACCATCTGAATGAACTAGTGCAGCTTGAAGATTTAATGTTGGCATATTAACACAGAGATCGAAAAGAACTGGAAATTTCGAGTGTTCAAGACAACCCTTACTAACAATTTCTAAGATACAATATAACACATTTCTTCCTCTGGTCCTTAAGGACCAGCTACTGGTACTTACATACCCAGAAACATCATTTAGTTTTGAGTATTGCAAGTGGCAACAATGCTTTTACATTTGAACAAAGAGCAAAATATAGAGATATGGACTACGCGAATTATTATCCATTAGGACTGAAATATTTACAAAAAGAAGTTGAGGATGTAATGGCTCATAACAAGAGGCATCACATCAAATAGCAATTACTATGCTGACTTGCGGTGCTCTCTAGGGTAGAATCAAGAAGGGAGTCAACAGATTAACAAAGTTTTAAAAGCCTGAGGCATTGCTGCTCCAATTACCAGGAAAAAACAGTACCAGTTACTCAAAAGCATGCTACCATAAAGATTTCACTTTTGAGAAAAATATGTACACTATTCAATTCTTTGCAACAATCATTCAGCATGACATTTTTCTAACCTATAAATCAATGCTCCAAATTGTCAGACTCCTGCAGCAATCAGTTCCTAACAGCTTTCATTCAAAGAAGACTAGTATGCAGATATCTTAACCATCTCGTGTTAGAACTGAATAAAAGCCAGCGAAGCAAGCAGTTATACATTACTCAAAGAGACCCCCTGATGGCCCAGGGCCAATGATGGGCCAGGTAGAAGCCCACCAAAGTAACAGGCTTCAGTTCCCAGGACAAATACTACACCAGGCACTGAAGGTCAAGCAGAGATAAAAGAAACAGAGCAGACACAGCTGAAATGAAACTTAACATTCCATAGTCATCCCACGGCAGCCAGGACTAGACAGAGGCCTAGCTGACACAAATGCTGTTTTTGCAACTGCTGTTTTATTTAAAAGGCAACCTAGTAACAGATCACAGATTCATTTTAATAGAGCATAAACTGCGGTCTACTACAAGAATCCCCAGTCTTGTTCAGTCTGTGGGTAGTTTTGGAGTTTTGAGGATAGAGAATGGACACCACTCCAAAATGACTGCCAATTACAAAATCTTTGGAGGTTGCAAGACAATTCCTATGATAGGGGTAGCTCTTTTGGAATGAATGCTCTCTAAAGACATAAGAGATGCTTCTTGGATTCTGCTGAAGTATCTCCTACTCCAGTGAGGTGAAGAAAATTAAGACTGGCTCTTTGCTTTTGGGGAAGAACTGCTTTGTCAAAGAAGCAAATGTGCATCAAGAAAACTCATTGGTGGGTACCATGGAGACCATGGGTGCAATATTGAATCAATGGTTTTCATTTTTTTTACATCACTCTTCAACTCTAACATGCCAAGCCCCATTTACTGATTGGCGCTACTATGGAAGAAGGCTATCCCATGTTGCAAGATTTCCCCCACCCCAATCTAGGAATTCCAGGCATACAGTCTTTCAGTTACTGTCAGACAAAGTCATGATACTGGGTAAAAATGATGTTGAATCAAGTACTGCCTAGAAATACTGGAAGAAAATTACTGATTATCCCAAAATTCCAAGAGCAGTAAGACTGAATTAAAATGTCACATATTTCTAAAGCAAATTGAACACATGCATGGATGGCTGTTCTTTGCTGTAAAAGCAAGAGAAACAAAATCCAGTTCAATAAACTTGAGTACTTTGTTACAACAAAGCTAGTATTACTGCTAGATTCAAGAAAGGATTGACAGCCCTCTAAATGTTTTTATAATTAGTCATTAGGCCAAGACTGTCAGAGGGAACTCACATCACACCTTGAGTTCCAACTGCAAAATATTAACAGCAGATGGCCCATTCCATAATCTGCCTTTTACACATTTTCTACCCAATCATTTCTGATGTGGATGAGGCACCACATGACTTTTCACCTCAACTTCCATCTGGCTGCGCAAGTGGAATGTATTTTAAAGACTTTATGAACATGACTTTTCACCTCAACTTCCATTTAACTGCACAAGTGGAATGTATTTTAAAGACTTTATGGTTGGTTTACTATACTTCTAAACAACAGATTTATACAATAGGTTCAAGAACATTTATTTTTGGAGTTGTGGAGGAAGGGGAGAAGCTAAGCAAAAGGTTTTGTTTTTTGGTATAGATCCTTTAGCACTTAGCTCTATTTAATGGTTTATACGAATGGCCACAAGTTGGTCAAAGATTTTGTTGTTCAGTCGCACAGTCGAGACCGACTCTTCATGACCCCATCCGCCATCCTCTGAAGTTTGCTCAACTTCATGTTCGTTGCATCGATGACACTGTCTAACCATCTCATCCTTTGCCGTCCCTGTCTTCTTTGACCTTCGATCTTTCCCAGCATCAGGGTCTTCTCCAGTGCGTGCTCCCTTCTCATTTGGTGGCCTAAGTATTTGAGCTTCAGTTTCATTATCTGGCTTTCCAGGGAACAGTCAGGGTTGATTTCTTTTAGGATTGACTGATTTGATCTTCTTGCAGTCCAAGGGACTCTCAAAAGTCTTCTCCAGCACCATAGTTCAAAAGAATCTATTCTTCGGCACTCGGCCTTCCTTATAGTCCGACTCTCGCAGCCATACATGACTACTGGGAATACCATTGCTTTGACCATGCAGACTTTTGTTGGCAGGGTAATGTCTCTACTTTTTATCATGCTATTTAGGTTCGCCATCGCTTTCCTCCCAAGGAGCAGGCGTCTTTTAATTTCATGGCTGCTGTCACAGTCTGCGGTGATCTGGGATCCCAGGAACATGAATTCTGACACTACTTCCACTTCTATTTACCAAGGAGTGATGGGGCCGGATGCCATGATCTGAGTTTTTTTGATGTTGAGCTTCAAGCCCACTTTTGCGCTCTCCTCTTTTACTCTGAGCAAGAGGCTCTTAAGGTCCTCTTCACTTTCTGCCATTAGAGTGGTATCGTCTGCATATCTGAGGTTGTTGATCTTTTTCCCAGCAATTTTAATTCCCACTTGTGATTGATTCATCCAGGCCAGCATTTCGCATGATCAAAGATTAGGGGTCCACAATATGATTTTCCATACCATGTACACACCTGAATGCTTGTGCAGTGTAACAGGTACTCCAGATCAGGGAATCTCTGGTTCACAACTCACTTCTGCCATGAACTCATTAGGTAGACTTAGGCAAGCTACTGTTCTATCAGTCTCAGCCCAATATTTTATAAGAAAAGTGGCTGCTGACCAGACCACAGTCCAAGGACTCTAACATCCTGTTTCAGTGGCCAACGAACACTTTCTGTTTCTTACATGGGTTTGTGGGGTCTTTCTTTCATGGAACTCAAGATGGCTCTCATGAGGGGAGAGGGTCCCCAAGATGTCTTCCTATCAAAGTATTTTCTATACCCAGATTTGCTTAGCTTTAACAAGGTGACTGCATCATGAAACTTCCAAGGATATGGGGAAAGGTCATGGCTCATTGTTAGAGCATCTTCTTGTCTGGCATGCAGAAGGTTCCAGGTTCAACCCCTGGCATCTCCAGTTAAAGATCAGGTAGTAGGTAATGTGAACTTGTCACCCTGGAGAGCTGCTGCCAGTCTGAGTAGACAATACTGACCCTGATAGACCAAGGGTCTGATTCAGTGCAAGACAACTTCAGACATGATGCCTGGGAACTTAAGAGTCATACTAGCCTACTCTAAAAGAGTTGCTATAAGGATTACAAGCGTCTGCAATGCTCTTCAAGCATTCTAGAGCAATATATACAACCTATGTATAATTTGTAAATATTAGGCCTAATTCACATGTGCAGGAGAAATGGCTCTTGGCGTGGGTTTCTACGGCTTCAGACAAGAAATTCTTTGTGAAAGATCCTGCTCTTAAAAATCATCTGGCACAACAGATTTTTGTGAGAAAAAAATCCCCCTCACACATCCTTTTTTGTCTAGTTTTCCACTTGCAGGAAGCTTGGGGGCCATTCCAAAGCACGCGGCACCTGGTGGTGCAGTCCCGTCTGCCTTCCTATCCCTCCTGCACATACGAACGGGGCCTCAAGCAGAGGAACGTCCCTCCCATTCGGCCCCCACATTTCCTCTCAGAAGGGTGGAAGAGATTTGCCTCATAAAAGGCGGGAAAATGGAGGGGGCGCGCAAAGCGGCGCCTCGGGAGGCGGGCAGCGAGCGGCGTGGGCCCCAAGACTCATTCAGGGCAGGAGAGGCCAGGGAGATATTTCCCCCACCCCCTTTTCACACAGGGGTACCCCGACGATCGAGACCCCCCCCCCCCCCCCCCCCTCCCACCCACCGCGGAC